AATTAAGTAATTTTTAAAGCATTGTATGGTCTTTGTGAAAAATTGATGAGTGGCTCATTTACTCAAATTGATCTGAAAGTATTGAACATATTACTTAAATTATTAAAATTGTGGATAGTTAAAAATTTACTTGCTATAAAATAAACAACCCCATAAACAATGGGAAGAAGAGCTAAAAAGACACTTCTCTAAAGAGGAAATGCAGACGACCAACAAGCATATGAAAATATGTTCAGCATCACTTGTAATAAGGGAGATGCAAATTAAAACCACAATGAGATACCACCTTATACTGGTGAGAATGGCACATTTTAAAACAACTAGCACATCTTAAAACAACAACAACAAGTGTTGGCGAGGATGTGGAGAAAAAGAAACTCCTGCACTGCTGGTGGGAATGCAAACTAATACTACCACTATGGAAAATTCTTTGGAGGTTTCTCAAACTACTAAAAATGGAGCTTCCATATGACCCAGCAATCCCACTCCTAGGTATCTATCCAAAATACACAAAAACACTGATTCAAAAAGACACCTGCACTCCCATGTTTATTGCTGCTTTGTTTACAATAGGAAAGACATGGAATCAATCCAAATGCCCAAAAGTATATGACTGGATTAAAAAGATCTGCAGCAACATGGATGGAGCTGGAAGGGATCACGCTTAGTGAAATATGCCAGAAAGAAAAGGAAAAATACTGGTGGTTTCACTCAAAGCAGGAGCATAAAGGACCAGGGGTGGAAAATAACAATAATGAACAACTATATACCAGAGACATTTTACAGGGGTGGAGTGGGAAATAGATCAAAAATGGGGGGGCAAGGGGGTAGTGCATGGGACTGTGGTGATTGCACATGGGTGAATTGGTAATGGAAAGTCCACAGGGATTACAACTGAGATGGAAAAAGTCACAAAAGGATGTAAAAATAAGCTATTATAATAAAAAAAAGAAAGAAAAAAGAAACTCCAGAATACTTCCATAAAAGAGTAAATGTGTGCTTGAACTAAAAAAAAAAAAAAATTACTTGCTACAATATTATCCTTGAGAACTTTAGGATAAATTTTATACTTACAACATAAAAATATTTGTGAGGGAATTATAAGAAAGAAAATACAATATTAATTTAAGCTTCTTTGTACTTACATATATCATGGATATATGAATGTATATTGAATTTTGACTTTTCCTTTGACTGATTGAAAGCTGGTTAAGAATAGGCAGCCATTTCTCTTGCCAGTGACTAAGAGTGATTGTGATCACTGGCTAAGTAGATATGATGGGAAAGTAAGCAAGCCTTCTAGGAAAGTTTTCTTGGAAAGGACAGTAACAGAAAAAAATGCTTCTTGCACTGAACATTGCTGTCTTCATATGATGTGCTGAACCCTGGTAGCTCATTTTGTCATTGTGAGTAGAAGTAGCTGAGGACAAAATTAACACACTCAAGAAAGCAGAAGTACAAAAAACGTCTAAGTCCTTGAGGAGGAAGTTGAATTAATGAGTACAGAACAAGTTTACCTTGTCTTTTCTTGCAGTGAGGGAAGCACCCCTTTTGATATAGTTGACCGTATTCCTTAATTACAGATGCTTTTCAAACTATGTTAAAGAACCAAAACCTTATATATCTATAATATAGGCAATCAATAGTTTTTAAAACTCCTTCCCAAGTGATTCTTACATCGTTTTGTCTTCATTCTAATCCTTTCTGCCCTCACTCTAAGAATGTCTGAAGTAAGAGAGTTACAAAATTAACTTAACTGGATGTGGGATAAATGATTGATTAATATAAGGGGGTCAGGAAAAAGGAGGGGTGTGAATAATGACTATGTTTTTGATTTGGGTAACGGAACAGATGGTACTGCCATTCTAGGGTAAGACTATAACAAAAAGAATGGCTGCAGTTTTGTACATTCCAAAATTGGTACTAGAATCTAATTTTAAAGTATAATTCTGAGTCCACAGACAATATCTGAACTATTTCTCTGAATGCCAGAGTTAGTAGTTGTAGCTACAGCCATAGATGCAGATGAGATTGCCTAGGTAGATGTACCTTACTGAGAAAGAAAAAGTTCTGGAACCTCAGATGAAATCAGTATTTCGTTGTAGGATAGGGAAAAAGCACTTGAGAATTAAAAAAAAAAAATTACTGACATAAAAAATGACAGATTTTCTTAGAGAAATTCAAGACCTCTATTGTTATTGGCCTTTAATTTGGAGGTAAACTTTACAGATTACAACTTGTTTTAAAAAGTAAATTCTTAAATGCTTGTCTTTTTATTTGATGAATTTATAATGTTAAAGGGAACCTTGTTTGCTAGTGAGTTAGTATACCATTCTAATACTAGCATTTAGCGCTCTTCTCACTTAGTAGATCAGTTTGATTATAATGTCCTCTAGTATAGAGAAAGGATATAGAATAATAAAATAAGGTGTAAATTTTCATCAGTCCTTACTTCCAGTAATTGTATTGTTTTTAGGGCTTATACAGCTCCATGCAACACTGTTCCTTGTACTTTGCTGTTTATAATTTTATATTCGATTTCACCCTTTTTGATATTTGTTATTAATATTTGACAGATGCTAGTCATTGTATCCTTTCTGTACAAAAATAAAATATTTTAGAGAATTAAGCAGACTTGGAAAACTCAAATAACTTTTCTTGATTTGGTAAATTAGGTATTTCTTAAATTCAGAAGTCTGTAGGAAAAGGGAAAACACCTCTGACAAGCATTATCTAAAACCTTTCACACAATCTGTTAATACTAACCTATAATTGTATGTGTCTGTGTGTATGTGGTGGTGTGCGTGTGTGTAGTGGAGAAACAGCATATGGTAGTAAAACCAATTTTATGAACAGTGACAATAAATATAAAAGTACAATTTTAAATTAGCATTACTGCTGAAAGGATACCAAAACTCGATTTGCCTGTGTCTTATTTCTTCTTCCAATTCTATTCTTTTTTAACTTCGGTTTGAATAGCACCTGTAATTAAGGAAGAAAACTGAGCCCTTGGAGCTAGGTAGGACTTCCAGCTATTGATCTGTGTAAACCCAGCTTATACTGTCAGGGGAGAAACAGTCAACTGCTGAGCTGCTTTGTCACTGACATAAGCTGAGAGAGGATTTTTTTGTCTATACTGTTTATACACTAGTCTATAGACCTGCTGGCTGGTTGAATTTTAAAGAGTGCGGAGGTTTAAAGACTTGTCCCCTGAGGGATGCTTCTGCCAGTTGGGAAGCGAGCTGAGGCTGTTTTGCAGAAGTGTGTGCATGTGTGTTGCTTTTGGAAGAAGGGAGGGGGAGGGTGTGAAAGATTGAACAACTAACTTGGAAGCATTCTTCTCAATTTGAGCTTAAAATTGATAGAAACTATGTTACAAATTTGGGTAAATTAGAAGACAGACAATGAATTTTGAATGGTATTTTTATTGTGACAGAATTCATGACAATTTTGGAGGGGGAATGTATAAATAGTCTTCATATGTGTAGTAGGTATGGTAACTGGCTTCACTTTATGCAATACAAGATGAGGATTAGCAGTGGTAAAGTGAATTTCTCATTTGTAATGAACTGACTTAAGTCACTTAAATTATTTCAAATTTAGTAGCCCTTTTTAATTATGTAAGGAAAATGTTGTTAGTGGTAAATTATTTAGCTTTTTTAAAATACGAAATCAATGTCATACTTTCAAAGGTAAATGTTCACAGGCAAACCTAATTACCTTGCCCTAAAGACATAAGATTGGTTTTTTACATGGTGGTTTTTCTTTTTGCATTAGTGATTTAAGGCTTATAAAACTTCCATAGATAATAAGCATTGAATTTTTTAGTGGCCATCTTATTACAGATTACATTTTAAAAGAAGGTGAGGATTTTTACCCTAAGACAATACTGTATGTGTAAATTTTAAGTGTTCAGATACTGATGGGTTTTTTGGATATAAGTTTTATTAGTAAACAGAAATAAGGTATTTTTTTGAGGGGTTACTAATGCAATAAGATATTCATTCTTTTTAATATAAAATATTCTTATAAATGTTTTTTATATATCTTAAAAATTTTCTGACTTTGAACTTGTATCTTTAGTTTTAACCTTTTGCTTTAGAAGCAGAGGTAATGTTTTTCATATACACAAAATAGTTATTTTTCTAGTTTTTTTATTTTTTGTCAGTGACCAACAGTTATTTGCATAAGTTATAATCATGGACATGTATAACCTTAAAAAGCTTTCAAAATTATTTTATAAAAATAATTTATTTTATAATGGTTATAAAATCACTGCAACTTTGAAAATCAATAAGGTTACTTTCCTGCACTTAGTTAAAACACTGAATTTATATTAGGCATTTTTTAAATTAAAAGTACACAATAGAAGATATGTTGTTTTAAACTTAAAAATTTGTTTTTTATATACAAATCATCTTTGAGTGTGATTTGAGGGAAAACATAGTAATGTTTTGTTGAATTACCAAAAAGTGAAACATAGATGTGTTTATTTAGCAGCAGAAAGCTTTTTTTTTTAACTGTCTAACTATGGGATATGTAAAGTTGTTATACCTCTCAGTAATTCATTGTGCTGCCAACTTCATTCCCTTTTCTCTGCCTGCATTTTAATTGAAACAACATTTATATTTTTGAGCCAGGATCTGTCAGAAGTCCCTGTGGCTAGTCTTTGGTACAAGTAGCAGCAGACGTAGCTTACCCATATGGTGCGGTGCTTCTTGTAAAATCCATATGGCCTTGTTGAAGGGAATCCCAGCGGGGATGTGAAGGGTGTTAATACCCTTCAGGCCAGGCCTTTCCCTCCTGGGGTTTCCATGGCATTGTCAGTGCAATCTGCCAAAGCACAAACTTAATTCCTTTTTAATAATCAATTATTTTAGTCGAGGGACCTGTGCTATTTTTCTTAAGAAAAAACTTTCTCCCCCTAGAATATGGCTACAGAAAGTTTTAACTGCATATTAAAAATATTCTAAGGTGTTTATTTTTATTTGTAATTTCAGGAAGTACTACAGAGTGTGCCAAAGTTCTGTTTTCCCTTTGATGTTGAAAGGTACAGTATAAGTTGTCATTTAAAATAAATTTAACTCATCTTAGTGGGTACTTCAGAATTGTTACATGTATTTTTTTTTTAAATAACACAAAATGTGTTTTTGCAGCACTCTAATGGGAAATGTGAGAGGTTCAAAGTGAATAATATTTGGAATGAAGAAATCTTTTAGATCATTCTATCTGTGGTTTTCTCTATGATGATTAGGAGATGTCTTGAAATTATTTTGGGTCTTCAAGTACCTGTTGTAAACACTAGCAAAATGAAATATTAATATGTCTTCAAGAATCTTAGAATTGATTATATATGTATATACATATATACATATGTTCATGTCTGCCTGTCTTTTTCTCCTGATTTCTGTTTCACTTCACCTTTTTTGAAAAGACTATCTGTAACATTGTAAAATTCATGACTAGTTTTCTCTCAATAATAGTTTACTAGAAATAGTACAATATTATGGAAGATTATAGGGAAACACGCTTAGCAGTTTTGAAAATCATGTTTGTATTTTACTGAACAAATAATGAATAGAGTATTACCTATATGTGGTTGAAATTTTATAGAATATATAGCTCTTTGAGTATAATAGATCATTTCTTGCTTTTTTGTGATTTTCATACCATATTATCAATCTTTAAAAAAGGTTATGGTATGATAGGGAGTTTAAAAGGTAGTTTATTTGAGGAAAATATTTTTCATAAGTGAAAATCTAAAATTTTATACTAAAAATAAAACTTTCCGGATAATGGAATAATTGATACTTATATTATTGATGAATTATACCCCTTGTTTTTAATTTCTTTTCTGGGAAGTCAGCTGTGACTACTGAAGTTGTAATTTTCAAATTGGTAGAAAGAATAAAATATACACCTAAATAAAAGGAAGAAAAATCACTAAAGTGTATTGTGAACAGTTGGCACTAGAGGGCACATTAGGGACTGGAGGTGGTTTGAAGGCTAATTTTTTTCTTTTAAACTGTCCCCTTAAAAGTGTATTTGTTAGCTTTTCAACATTTAAAATGTAGTATTTCCTGACAATTGAAAATAATTTGTTCTCTGCACACTATACTAAGACAATATATTTCCTATTACTTAAACCTGTGCCTATTTCAACACCAAGATTTAGGTGTCATGGGTATTTTGTTGTGGGATAATAATACAAATGTTCAGTTAAGGTTGTATCATGGCAATATTATAGCCAGATACATGCGTGCAACATATTTACATATTTTCAATTAAAGATTTAAATTGATGATGTATAATATTAACATACTGCAAGTGTGATATATACATAATATATATCTAGCAGAAATTTGTGGGATTTTAGAGATTGTATTCATATTTTGTACTTGTAAATTTATTCTCAATATAGGGTTAGCTCTAGAAGAGAATGCTTAAAAATGTTGATATATTTTCGGTGGTACTTCATTAGGTAAGATAGCAAAAGAAGCAATTAGACGGTTGATGGTGGCTATGTTTAGATTCTAAAGCAACATGGTTTGCTATCTAAGCAGTCTTACAATTGGAAGAAACGAGAGATTAGAGTTAGCACGGATTAGTCATCATGTATCCTCACATCCAACTTATAGTAATTGTATTTCTAGAGTTTATGATATATCTTATAAATATCTTTAGGCATATGAAAATGTATAGTACAGTACCTTATGATTTCCAGCAAGATATTGCTATATATTGAATTATCCAGTTGTTAGGTGTTATAATTTTTTTGAGTTTACGCATTTTACGCTCATTTTGGTTTTGTAATATAGTTCTGCATTTGAAAATTAACTGGAACTAACTACTGCATATAAATGTTTTTTTTTTTAAAGAAAATTCTCACACAAGGCTAATGTTTTACAATATTACTGTATTTTAGAGTTTCTCAAAATCAAGTTGGTCAGCACTTTACCTTTGTACTGACAGACATTGAAAGCAAGCAGAGATTTGGATTTTGTAGACTCACATCAGGAGGCAAAATTTGCTTATGCATTCTTAGGTGAGTATTTTTAGTAAACACAATTTGGATATGTAGTAGATTAGTTATGTCTCTTTTTTTTTTTTCCTCGTAGTGCTTGGGATAATTAAAAATGCTTATAATTTTTTCTTTAAGTATGTCAAAAATAATTTTATTTACTTTCTGTATATAGCATCACTTGGGTTTAAAGATTTGTTTAGTTGCAGAATTTTTCTTGAAATAATTGGCTCTTTTAGGTCAGATTTTTACAGGCTTAGTTTTTTGAAAATTAGATGCTACATAGGCATGCAAAAATATATGTTTTACATATAACATATTAAGCATATTTACATATTTAGAGTTTAGAAATGTTTAGAGTTGTTTTGTTTAGACACATGGTGACTAAAAAAAAGACCTTATAAAAATTTTACATAAAATTCACGGTTCTAATGCCTTTTGATAAGTGGGAATATTTGTTAGCACTGCTCCTGAATTCCCCAATAGTTACAGTAAGCAGCAAGTTTTTACTGTGTCATGAGTTTTCTAGTTTTGTCAGAAATCCCATTTGTGCTACTCCAGTTCCTTACATTATTTGCTTTGACTTAGTGTAAGAGTGTATCTCTTCTGTTAACTTTGGATTTGAATTGCTGCTTGTTGAGATAGAAAGGGTTGTAAAGTTTAGTCCCCATCTATTATGTCCTGATGAATTAGACATAACTCATCACATTCTATATTCCACATAGTATCCTTCATGTTACAATATGGGTATTGGTCAAAGGAGAGTCTATAGGAAGGAAAAGAAACAATATTTATTTTAGTAATTAAATATTACAAAGAAAGTGTTAGTATCAAATTTTGCCTATTCTGTTGATTTGTCATTTAGCTACATTCAATTATTTTTTGAGTTAGCTTGTCAATTAATCAGAACAGTTGTAACAATTGGATATTTTTAATCTTTTTTATAAGATTTGTTTATTTATTTATGCATATAAGAATTGGGGGGTAGGCCAGAGGTGTGGAGGGTGAGAGAATTCACCAGAGACAGAGTAGGGAGCACAACAGGCAGATCCACTGAAATACACTGCTGAGGGAAGCAGTGGGTGAGACAAGAGGGATCTTCTGCACCAGGTAAGTCAGCTCCCTCACCAGGGATCAAGCTGGGTGGTTGGCAAAAGCTTAGCGCTGAGACTAACTCCTGTACCACCAGGGAGTCCCCCCCCCTTTTTTTTCGATCTTTATTCAGAGTAAATGCTTAAATGCTTTGAAAGTAATAGAATATGTATATCTCTTCATTCTTTTTAAACAGAATTTTAAAAAATGGTTTATTTAATTTTTCTGTCTTTTAAAATTTTTGGATAGTATTTGATTTCTCCCCTTTGATACAGTCTGTATTATCCCCCCACATAGCACCCATGTTCTGTCACCACAATTCTCTTGTGAGCATATTTTTTATATCAATAACAATTGTATTTAAAATTTTTGCCAGGATATTTTGAGCCTTTTCACTATACATTAATTCTTCTCACTTGAAGTCAGTTGGTTTGAAGTAGGCTGAGTATGTGACCATGTATGGGGAGAGCTCCTTTAATCACTTTATTTCATATGAAAGTTCAAAAGCTACATTTAAAAAGGAGCATAACAGTACATACTCTCCGAAGAAGAGTTCCCCTAACAGAAAGACCAGAATGGAATGTGATTTCCAGCTTTTCTTAGTGAATTTTGAAATCTGTTCATTAATAATACCAAATTTATGTAAAGTTTCAGGAATAATACAATGAACTCTTACATATACATCACCTAGATTCATAATTGTTAACATGCTTATCTTTGTCTCCTCTCCAACCTCTATGCATACAAGTTCTCTTTCTTAATTTTCTTATATTGTTAGCTTCATTTTTTCTATAATATTTGAATATAAATTTACAGCTTTTTCCACTACCTGCAAAATTCCTGTAGTATGAACTTTCTTCTTTATTTTGAGGTTTTAAAATGTTTATATTTAGAATCTATTAATAATTAGCAAATAATAAACATACAGAACAACCCCTGTAAACATGCTTGTAGAATAAACATTCTTCAGAATATTTGTTTAAATTAGGAATGCCAGCACATTAATATGAGACCAACATTTCTCTGATACCAAAAGCATATAAGAACACGATAAAAGAAGAAAACTGCACATCAGTGCAGTTTATCTGTGATAAACATAGATGCAGAAATCCCCAGTAAAATCATTTCAGCAATACATTAAAAGGATAGTGCGAGTAACCAAGAATAATTGATTCCAGGGGTACAAGGATGGTTTAACATTTCTTGAGCAATCATTGCCACTCATCACATCAGCAAAAGAAAAGAATATTGTGTTGGTAGATGGAGAGAAAATATAAGACTAAATATCCATTTATGATAAAAACTCTCTTTAGTGGGAGTAGAAGGAGCATATTCAACATAATAATGATGGTATATGACAGCTAAAATTATATTTATTGTTGTTATTGTTGTAAAATATGGAACTTTTCCTCTTAGATTGGGTACAAGGCAAGGATGTCCACTTTCAACACTGCTATTCATCATAGTGTTGGAAGTACTAGCTGGAGCCATATGGCAAGAGAAATATATAAAAGAAATACTGCTTGGGAAGAACATAGTAATGTTATTACTATTTGCGGACAACATGATAATAAACAGAGAAACCTAAAGATTTCTAAAAGGTACAGAAAAAATACATCAATACAGTGAAGTGGTAGTCTACAAAATCAGTGTGCAAAATTCAGTTGAATTCCTTTATGCAAACAGTGAACAAGAATAGAAATGATCAATAACACAGACATACTTATTCCTGTATGGTCACATCAAAAAGAAATAATTAGGAATAAATTTAATGGAATTGAAGAAAATAGAGCTGCAGACAAAACAATTTCTAGAATTGGACTGCAGAACTGAATCTACTAGAAGGAGAGGGTGGATTGTAGGGAACAAAGTGGGGAAGAGATCCATTCTACTGAAGAAGATTATGGGATTTTTGAAGGTGGGTATGGCATGATAACATATATGAAGAGATGTGAACCTATACCCCTAAATCATATACAGTGTGAACTCGTTACTTCAATAATTAAAAAAAAAAGCAATTACAAAATAATTTATTGTGTTCTTAAGCTGTGGAGAAAGTTTTTTTTAATAGTAACATAAAAGGAAGGCTTAGGGAAAAAAGTGCATTTTTATAGTACCCTGCTACATGTTTTTTTTTTTTTTTTTTGTGACATGATACTAGGTTAATTATTCCAGGGTTCATTCTCAGTACAAATGATTTAAAATATCCTCAACACTTCTATTGTTTAAATTTGTGTCTTAATCTAAATTACACTAATAAAATATACTCAAAGGTTTTTGTTGATACTGAAAAGTTTAAAATGCTTTATGTCTTTTAAAACTAGTCATAATGAAAATGAAATACATTTAAGTATAAGATTTTTTAATACAAAATAAAATTAAATACTAATTGGTAGTAAATTTTTATTAGGAAAGTAGGAAATAGCTGCTACTGAATTTGTGAAATAGTGAGTCTGTTAGTTTAGATATGAAAACAGTATCACTAATAAACAAATGGTAACATAATTTGTTTACTATAACACAAGTACTCTAAGTGACTTATATATGATACTAATAAAACTACTTTTCCTTAGAATTCTGAAATAAAAATTTTGCATATAATGCTTTTTTTTTTTTTAAAGATTTATGTATTCATACAGAACTGGGGTACAGGCCAGAGATGCGGAGGGTGAGACATTCACCAGAGACAGAGTGGGGAGCAGAACAGGCAGATCTACGAAGTACACTGCTGAGGGGAGCAGCGGGCAGGTCAGGAGAGGTCTGCCACGCCATGTGGATCTCCTCCTCGGCAGGCGGGATTGAACTCATGCGGAAGTGGCGTAAGCTTTTTAGTGCTGTGTTTTAACCCGCTGCGCCACCAGGGAGGGCCTGCATATAATGTTTTTAAAGCTACTTTGCTATATTCTTGATTCATGCTATTATAAGACTTGAAAGTAGTTTATTACCTTCTAGTAGTATGCTGGGAAATTTGTATGCAAATCTGTAAAAAAAACAGGCATTAAATTAGGTCCTCCTGGATTTATGCTGTTGCATAATTTGGAATTATATTTTTTTGATTTCTTTTTATTTAACTTTCTAGAAGAAATATTTAAATTCATTTTATTTTAATAAAGGTTGATATTTAATTTTTCTGTTTCCAGCCAATTACATGCTTCAGTTCTTTATATGATTTTCTATCATTGTTTCACAAGATTTAAAAAATATACTACGTTATTACTAATTTGAGTATCATTATTGTTTGTATAGAGAATTGATCTCATATGCTAGCAGAAGTCCCTTCCCCCCTAATTTGATTAGCATAATTTACAACTATAAAATTGTCGCCAATGGTTCAAAATGAAATACTCTAATAAGGAAGATAGATTGATGTTTAGGACGTTTGTAGTTCTTCCCCACCTCTCACCCCCTTTAACTCATGCCAAATTTGAAACTTTCACACTCTTCCTTTGGTCATATCCCTCAGAAGCAGAATGTTTCAATTTTACACATTTTGTGTCAATTTCCCAGACAGAAAAAACAGCCTCTAGACATTAGACGTTTTTCTACGGAAAGGCAGTTTCCTTAGTTTTATTTGATTACTATATGTTAGGTTCCTGCTGATCACTTAGACCGTTAGTGGTTACCTGACCATTTGACAAAAAACATTTCCTTTCCTTTATTTAACCTTTGACTTTTGAATGTAAAAATTTTATCAGCTCTATAGTGGAAGCACAAGTGTGGGGGAAGCCTTCTTACTGCCACAAAATGGACTAATGGCTATATATATGTATTACTTTTGCCTTATGTCTGTGTAAAAAATTAAGGTAATAAATTATAACCAGCTCGAAGAATTTTCCGCCTTTTGTTTCAAAATAATTATTCCTAGTGTTTATTTCATACTTGCAAATGTTTACAAGGCAATGGCTTATTTTTTTGTTGTTGTTAAAAAAGCTGTTCAGATGTTCAGTTTTATAGATCTCAAGCAAAATGTCTTACTCAGCCATTATAGATGTTGAGTGCATTTTAAAACTTTTCTACTATCTTTGTGGTTAGTTGTAAAAGTATAGATTTTGACTGGGGGACTGTAAATTTGATGAAAATATATTTTAACGGTGGTAATTAACCAGTTTAAGTCCTAATGCATTATTTAAAAGTTGTTTTGATATATGTTGTTTGAAAGTTATATTTAGAAATCACAGAAATAAAAACATGAGAAGAATAATTCTTACCTTGATAAGGTAAACTTCTGTAATTTGTAATTAATTTTCATTTTGCTATGGATTTTGTCTTTGAAGTTTCCACTTCAATCTTGTTTGAAAAGTTAAACTTGAATATTAACTACTTTGTGTACTCTGGGCCATTTTCTTGTCATATAAAAAAGTGAGCAGGGCACCCTATAGAATTGTTGCTCTGTATCAGGAGTCATAAATTCAGTTACCTACCAACCCCTGGTAGAATACTCAAATTAGGTAAGCAGGGTAGGTGTCTGATGATAGGAAGGTGTAGGTGGGTATGTTCAAAAAGTACATGCCACTTCTAAATAACAGAAGCCATTACAAAGCTCGAAGTATTTGTTGCGAAGTGAAAATATGTGTGACCAGTATTGTTAGTCCTTGTGTTCTTTAAGGGAGTAAGAAATTCTGTTTTGTTTTGTTTTGTTTTTTAAGATTTATTTATTTGTGCATACAGAACTGGGCTACAGGCCAGAGGTGCAGTGGGGGATGAGAGGATTGATCAGAGACAGAGTGGGGAGCAGAACAGGCAGATCGTCCAAGTACAATGCTGAGGGGAGCAGCCAGCAGGTCAGGAGAGGTCTGCCGTGCCATGTGGATCTCCTCCGGGGCCAGCGGGGATCAACTCATGTGGAAGTGGCTTTAGCTTTTTAGTATTATGCTTTAACCTGCTGCGTGGCCAGGGAGGGCCCAGAAACTCTGGTTTTTAAGTGAACTATTTCATATTTAGAGTTAACTTATTCAGTTAGATTACGACAGTGGTGTGTTGAGTAAAGTATATTCATAGGTTACATAGTGTCTGCAAGTAGCTAGTTTGCACGTTATAGTCTATTTGCTACTCTCTACTTGCCACAGAAAATGCCCTGATTTCATTGAGAGTTCTAGTTCCACTTTGACATACGATATTTTTACTAAAAAGCATGAAAGATATGCATTTTTAAAAGATGGATTTCACTAAGAACTAGTATAGCTTTATAAAGAGTGCCTTGTATATAATACAATGGTGTATAAGACAGTACTGAGAAATGAGTTTGTCCCACTGTCTTTCATAAACAAGTTATTATAGAGAATAATGTTGGTTGGATAGTAGGCAAGACAATTATGAGTCTTCTTATGATTAAAATATAATAAGGTATAGTAAAGATAACTAGTTTATCAAGTAGTTTTTCTATTATGATTTTAGGATGCTGCTGATTCAAAAAAAAGCGTCATCAATAGTCACTATTAAACTAGGCACCATATGAGAAAATATAGATAGAATGCTGGTCTTGTAATCTGTATTGGTGTTTTAATATATTATGACATCCGTTTTATGTATCTTGTGTCTTTGTCAGCATCCCATTGTATAGTAAGACTATCACATTATTTTATCTTTAAAAATAACCTGTTGCGATTAATTGAAAGTAAAATGAGATTTGTAATTGATACTATACTATACTACTTTGCTGTGATTTATCTTCTATATGAACACATATATGCATGAACAATAGAAACATTGAATACATTTTAATTATACTAAGATCCTTAGTTTTAAGTACTGTAGATTTTATTTTATATAGTTGATTTTCACTGTTTTGCTTTTAGCAATTAAATTTTTATCAGTCAAAATCAATTTAAAATTTTGTTTTTGACACCTAAAAACTATTTTTGTAGCTGTCTCTTTTAATGTTGACTTTCTCTTTCCTCTTTTGATAATTTACTTTGAAAGTGAACATCCTACGTGAACATCATTTTTTGAAGACTTCAGTACATAATTATATAATTATATAATTTCAGTAACATTTTAAAATATATAATTGTAGTTTTGTTATTGAAGATTTTTAATATTAGCTTTTGTTTCATTATATCTTGTTGTACAGTGATAATTCTTTTCTTATGAGTAATTTTGTTGCTTACCATGCAAAAGGATTAGGTGATTTTAGATATTGTCGACATATAAGTGTGCATAATTAATAATCTTCATAATAGCTTCTGCATTGTAGTTATTTTATGAAAATGAACAATAATATATACAATTTCACGTTACTTTACAGAGAACATGGGTATATTTTCATTCTGTCTCTAGCAAAAACTGTAATAATATAAATTTACTGTTTTTCTTGTTCCTTGATCCCAAATGTGTTTGTGTATATAAGTATATGTACACACATAAATATATTTCTTAAGTTATTATTATTATTATTATTTTTACAGTTACCTGCCATGGTTTGAAGTATATTACAAGCTTCTAAATACTCTGGCAGATTACTTGGCTAAGGAACTGGTAAGCTATGTTCCCTCCACCCTCTAGTTTTTCCCTATTATAATGTATATATTTTAGCCATCTTTTATTATAGTGATATTATTGTATTTACATTGTGTGCAACTACCACAGCATGATCTCTAAAACATTTTTATTTTTCCAATTGAAATTGTGTACCCATTAAATCATACTTTCATTTCCTCTCTCACAAGTCCCTGGCAAGAGCCAGTTTACTTTCTGTCTGTATAAAATTGATGTACCTCAACTAAGTGGAAGCATATAATTATTATGTTTCTGTATTTCTCTAAGTACATTTCCATGGTTTATCAATGTTGTGGCATTTCTAGAACTTCCTTTCTAAGACTTAAACATTCCATTGTATCTTATAGCACATTTGTCCATCAGTTCATTAATAGATGATCACTGGGTTGCTTTTATCTTTTGGCTATTGTGAACATTGGCACTATGAAAATGGGTATATAGCTATCTGCTTGAGTTTCTGCATTTTCTTCCCTTGAATGTAAACCTAGAAGCAGAATTGATGAGCAATATGGTAATTCTCTCTTTAATTGTTTGAGAAACTACCATACATTTTTCCCTAGTGGCAGTATCATTTTTACATTTCCACTAGCAATGCATAGGATTCCAATTTTCCAATGTCCTTTTAACACTTATTTTCTGTTTCTGTTTTGTTTCATTTTATAATGATTATCCAGATGGGTTGAAGTGGTATATGGCTGTGGTAATTTTAGATTTACCTGTCCCTTAATGATTAGTGATAGTGAGCATCTTCTTATGTGCTTATGGTTTATTTGTTTTTCTTTTTTGGAGAAATATCTATTCTTGTCCTTTTCCTTTTGTAATAGCAATTTGTTCCTTATCAGGAGTTCTTTATATATTCAGATGTAAATTCTTTATCAGATGTATAATTTGCAAATATTTTCTGCCATCCCATGGATTGTCTTTTTACTCTCTTGGTAGTGTCCATTTATGTATATAGGTGGTTTAATTTTTAAATTAAAATGTTTTCTTTTGTTAATTTTACTTCTGGTCTAATTTCAAGAAATAATTTCAAAATCCAGTTTCATAAAGCCTATCCCTGTTTTCTTCTGAGTCTCATATAGTTTTAGCTATTACATCTACATTGTACGCTTCTTTCTTTAAAGTAAAAGCAGGGCCCTCCCTGGTGGCGCAGCGGGTTAAAGCACAGCACTAAGAAGCTAAAGCCACTTTCGCATGAGTTCGATTCCCGCCTGCCCGGGAGGAGCTCCACATGGCAGACAGACCTCTCTCCTGGCCTGCCCGCTGCTCCCCTCAGCAGTGTACCTCGTCGCTCTGCCTGTTCTGCTCCCCTCTCTGTCTCTGGTGAATTCTCTCACCTCCACATCTCTAGCCTGTACCCCAGGTCCATATGAATAAATAAATCTTTAAAAAAAAAAAAGTAAAAGCAAAGCAAAAATGAAAATTTTCTTTTGAATTTATAAACTTCTGGGATGATCATTTAAAAAAATTACTTTAATGATTGATATTTTAACAAATACTAATATACCTGAGATATTAACTATGCTGTTTGATACAATTTAATTCAAGTAAATAAAATATTTCATGATCAATTATTGTTGCTTTCTAGTTATAAAGTTCAGAGTATATTTTCCATTTCCTGGTTATATTTAAATTCTCATTTGACACTAAATCTGTCTTTATATTTTTTCTTTTAGATTGTTTTTTCATTTTCCCATTCATCTATACCTAAAAGTTTGGTGTTCCTAGGTGGTATAATTAGTCTTTTTGTCTATCTGGAAATTTTTTTATGGGCTTTCCTTTTACATAGTTAGCTGTAAAGGCACTCAGATTCTGATCTTCAAGATTTATCTTTCTGAACCTGATTACTCCATCTCACTCTCTGTATCTCCTCTTTTTCTTAGAATGCAATATAAACTTGAGTACAGTCTTATGTACCAGAACCTTCTTGTTCTGGACTCTGATATTTTGACTAATTTCCTCTTACACTCCTACATAGAGTTTACTATTCAATTTTTTCAAGTCACTTGAACTTTCTAGAACATAACACCACAAAGCTGTCTTTCCAGATTGTAGATTTCTTTTTATTGGTAAACACTAATCTTTTATGAGTCAATGTAAATATTTTCAAAAGCAAAACTAAATTTAGCACAAATGTTATTCTACTTCTTTTTTGACTCCCTAGTTGAGTTAAGTGATGCTTCTGGGTTTCCAAAATATTTATTTACACTAAATTGTAATTCTGTTTCTTTTTTGACTCCCTAGTTTGAGTTAAGTGATGATTCTGGGTTTCCAAAATATTTATTTACACTAAATTGTAATTCTGTTTCTATAACTGATATAAAAGTTGTGACACAGTTCCTTTTTTTAATCATATAACAAATAATCATTGATTGAAAACATTGTTAAATTAGTTAAAATCTGATTAATAAATTCTAATGTTTGCTTATTAGATTTATATGTCATATTTGAAGAAATTATTTTTTAGAAATTCTGCTTTTACAAGATTTTGTAAGTTAATGCTTTACAGAAAATCAAAGACAAAATTGTAGATGTTAAAATAGAATGCTGCTGTTTAAAGATTTATTTATTTGTACATACAGAACTGGGGTACAGGCCAGAAGCTCAGGGGCGGCGAGAGGCTTCACCAGAGACAGAGTGGGGAACAGAACAGGCAGATCGACGAAGTACACTGCTGAGGGGAGCAGCGGGCGGGTCAGGAGAGGTCTGCCACGCCATGTGGTCACCTCCAGGGCAGGCGGGAATCGAACTCATGCGGAAGCGGTTTTAGATTCTCAGTGCTGTGCCCTAACCCGCTGCGCCACCAGGGAGGGCCCGAATGCTGCTGTTTATACCCTAGATTTTCATGTTGATCAGGCTTTGCTTATGCTTTTTAATATCTTGTGATTTCTTTACTATATTTCACAAAGTTTCAATATTCTAGAGAAATTTAGCTGAATCAAAGCAAATTATCATCATAAGCACATAGTATTTTGAGTTTTTATTGCAAATTTTACACTTAACCTCTTGGCCATTTTTACACTTTACCCATAACCAAAAATGTTGAAGTTTCTCAGTCTTTCATTTTCCTAAGAAAATAACTGGAAATAAAAGTTTTATTTTCAGTAAATTATCAAAATCTGAATTTTATCTCATGATAATTTCTTCTTCATTGTTTTATGAATAAACATGTGGAGACAACATAAATTGTGTTAGTTATCCAAAACCTGAATAAGTTTACTTTTAGACAATTCAGTGATAAATTAATACTTACGTAACCTATTATATGTCATATTCTCTGTGGGACTTTCAGCACTACGGGAATACAATGAAAGAAAATCATATGAAGAAGGCCTTGTACATATGACTTTCAAAGAATAAGGCAAACTACATTTGTGTTTCTAATTGGAGAAAGATGTGTTCACAGTTTTAACTAAATAGGAGTGAGTCTATAATTGTGACTTTTTAACCTAATGCTACCATTTATTTAGATACTTAGATTTTATGATTCAGGTTATCCTTACTATATACACTATGAAATAAATGTAAAGCTAGGCTTTAAAATAAAAATTTAGTAACCTTAGAAATTTTGTATAGGCAGGATATCAGTATCATTCAGAAAATTCTGTATATTATATGCTATATATTATTGTTTATTGTTAAATGCTATATATTATTGTTTAAGTGATCAAGAGGTAATTTTTTTAGTTTTTTTTTTGGTTCCTTTTAGAGAGAACTTCAAATACATATTTTGAATGAACTCTTTTTGCATCCATTTATAGAGATTTGAATAATAAAGTTTTTGTGCTCAGGTTATAAGAGAAATTGTGATGTCATATGTGTCATATTCAGATCACTTAGGTAATTATTACTTGCTTTAACAACTACCTGTTTTTTTATTTTCCCAGCATAACATTTCAAGAGAAAATAAAAGTAGCCATATAAAAGTCTATTTTTATATAGTTATTACTGAATTTCAGGTGTAATTTGAAGTTAGTATGCACAACATTGTTATATAAGTTATTATACAAATCCTATAATATAATCATTTTATGTATTTTATTTAGGTGCATTTATTTTGAGTATGCATTGACCAGTGGTAGCTATTTAGAAAAGATATATTTAACTTCAACATTGCATGTTAGTGTAATAACCTTTCAAAATTTAGGTTTCAGAGTTAAAATAAGCATGAAGGCATTCTGTCTTCTCATATAAAATTGTATTGCTACTTTACTCAATCATCAATTGTTTTTCTTGGATTTAATGATTTAAGTGATATCCTTCTAGAAGTAGAATCAGTATATTTTAAGTTAGTTTTGCCAAAAGCATACTTACTGTAAATAGACAATATTGTTATTTTCTTCTGGGTAAAGAGATTTTAATATCTTTCCCACATTTGTTACATTTGAATGTTTTCATTTCAGGAACCTGAATTCAGCATTCTTATTGAAAGCAGTTATATAAAATTTGTTTAATTGTACTTGTTTATAAATATTTTATTTTAAAAAGGTACTTTTCTTTAAACTCTAGGAGAATGATTTGAATGAAACTCTCAAGTCACTTTATAACCACCCAGTACCAAAGGCAAACACACCTGTCAATTTGACTGTGGTAAGTAATTAGTAATTGAATTTTTATTCATAGTAATTTCTCCTTTGGGAACATATGCACCTTCCAGAAATTAAGTCACCTCTACTTAGTAAAAGTTCAGTGTTGCTGCTTATGTGAAGAGATGATGTTATTAAGCCCTTTTTGACATATGTTAACTATCATAACATGGTATGTTATATGTGAGCTTAGTAGACATTAAATCATAAGTTTTTTTTTTATTATACACAAAATGTAACTGAATTTGTGAGGATATTTTGTTTGAGAAAGTTTGTTTTTTGGGTGAAATCTGTAAGTAATAGTGATGTCTACATATATATAAATAACCTCCATACATATATAAAATACCCTTCATGAAGTAAACACATTATACATTAAGAACTGAAAATGACATCTAGAATGTAATTAATTTTATGATAAAAATTCTGAATAAAAACTCCTCCTTTCCCCAAGTTTTACTGTATTTTCTAGTATAATCATTAAACACTAGAAATATGATTAAATTTTGTCAATACAGCATGCTTATACAATTGAAACTTTAAATGGTTTGTTCATTCTATGTCAAACCACAAGACCGTTTGAGAGCGGTTGTAAATATTCAATTTAATATTCACAGAGTGAATGTTTCATTGATAATTTTCACTCTTTTGGCATGCTGAAAATAATGTCTAAATTTATTTATACTGATTTTGGTTCATTCTAAAATAATAGTAAAGCTCTGTACCAAATAAGGAAGAAAGTATGTAATGATGCAAGAATAATTGAAAGAAAAATTTGAAGTATGTAATAGTATGAATAGGTCTTTTGCTTGCTTAGCAAAATAATTGTTCTCTTTCTTTTCTTTCTTTGGTAATAACTTTCTTCTTGCCCATATTTTCATCTTAATTTCACAATAATAGTATTTTTTTACCTTATTCCATTCTTTGTTTCTGTTGTCAGCCCCCTAATTTTAGAAGCCTAGCACTTAGTATCGTTCTTAATCTTGGCTCTCTACTCTCAGCCCTATCTGTATAAAATTTTCAGATTAAATTTCTTCAAACTTGATAGTTTTTTCTATGAAATACACTTTTTAAGCTCCCCATTTTTCTATCAAATTTGTCTAAACTCTTGGCAAGGCTTTCGGACCACCCACTTTCTTAGCCCCCATGTAACATTTCAGGTTTGGTCTCACTGTTGTTTCCTCAATTAATTCTCTAGTAACTTCTTTTTCTGTTTATGTATTTTTAAAATTGAGAAATTATTGATATATAACACTGTATTAGTTTAGGTATACAGCATAATGTTTTGATATATGGAAATACTTTAAATGGTCACCGCAATAAATATAGGTGACATTCATATTACATACTTAGGCACATTTTTTCTCATTTATCTTCTTCAATGCATACCTTCCCTTTTTTAGTAAGTTCTCTTTGTAGACTATTCATCTTTACTCCAGAACTAACTCTATTCCTAACTTTGTGAAACATAGTCTCATAGTAGTTGAACGTATTATATTTCCCCTATGACCGCTGTGCCTCATATCTTCATCTTGTGAATTAATTAATTACTGTTGAATAAATAAAGAAATGTGGATAGTAAGAAAATAGAGTATAATGGAGAAATAAATGGTATGTTCTCTTTAAATTTGAATATGGGGCCCTCCTTGGTGGTGCAGTGGGTTAAAGTGCAGCACTTACAAAGCTATTGCAGCCACTACAGCACAAGTCAATCCCCGGCCAGGGAGCTGATCCACATGGCATGGCAGACCTCTCCTGACACCACCCCCGCTGCTCCCCTCAGCAGTGTATCTGTGGTGAATTCTCTCTGTCCTTGCACCTCTGGCCTGTACCCCAGTTCTGTATGCATTAGTAAGTCTTTTTTAAAAAATAAAATAAATAAAAATTAATGTCATTTTTAGAGGAGTAAATAAATACCAATATATATCAAAATACTGGATATTAAAACTCTAAGCTTTTATTTAAGAATCTTGCAGATTTCTAGACTTCTTAATACCTCTAGTTACAAGACTTTGATTTAAGTCACAGTCACTAAATGTGTGATGCTAGGGAAAAAATGTCACTTTTGATGATCCCTTTTCTCCATTTGAGAAATCAAGTGAGTTGATTTTAGAGACAGCTATTTGGATAACTAGAAATACCTATACATGTGTCATGAGAAATAATTCAAATGTTAGTTGTTAGTGAATTGATTCATCTGGAGATTTTTGTTTGTTTTTGTAGCTAAAATAATCATATTAATCAGTAATTCATAATAGCTTTTCTCAAGATGCATTATTAAATGTGCTGGTTGGTAAAAACATTGCCTTATCTTTTTACAAAGTCTGTTTCATTTGATTTTAGTAGACTACTAAAGCAGTTTGTCCAGTACTACATTGTCATTTGATTGGCAAGGTTGTGATTAGAATTTTTATCTTCAACTATTAGTATAAATTCTACTTTTATGATATCTAATTAAAACTGATGATCGTGGAAATTTTTGTATCTCTACAAGTAGGAAGAAAAACTTTGCAGAATTTCCATTGGAAAAACACTATCTTGAGATAGTGTTAGGATTTTCTTACAATTTCACATTTTCCTAAATATTCCCACACATGAGTTTTTCAGTACTTGGCATTACAGCTATTAGAATATTAGAGATTTTTGGAAAATTATTATTTAATATAACTGCTTATTTTAAAATCATTAAATATACAGAGTATTCGCTACTCTTTTATGATTAATAATATGGAAATTTAAAAAATATTTCTAACATAAAACTAGCAAATCAGCATTTCAAAGCATGGTTAACGTTATTCAAATATTTATAGTGGATGATATGCTATGCTACATGGGTTTCTTATAGATACACAGCAAATTGTTGTGTAAACTTATCCCATGAAAGTAAAATATTCATTTTTTTCTCTCATATATTATAAGAACCAAGAGATATTTATTGCCAGTGAGCAAGCTCTGAAAGATCAGCCTTCCCTAGTACCGGTGAGTTAAAAGAGGATGTTGGCGTCTAAAAAATCACTGTTAAATTGGGAAGATAACTATTTATTTCTCTGTCTTGAAGATTCACTCCAGTCCTGTGGGAAATGACAATTTTTTTTTAAGAAAATTGATCATTTGAAGTCTATTTTCTGTTTATACTATAAAGGATAAAGTATATATGTTTAAAGTATAGTTAAAAAAAATACCTCCAAATTAAAGTAGTGAATAAGGCCAATTGTATGCATCTTCAACATTATCAGTAGTAATGTGCATTCACCGTTTGAGATTTCTTTCACATTTCTTGTCACAAGGTCTCAAGAAACCTTGTATTTATCTCATATTGTTTCTTTACCTTGGAAAATTATGCATTATAATTGTATTAACTAGCCTTTTCTTGACTAGTTGATCTGCTCTATATTGATTAGGATATAAATTTTCTATAGTATTATTTTCCAATCATCAATTTCAGTAAAGTATTAAATATGTCCTTATGTTATTAAGAATTAAAAAAAAATTGAGATTAATATGAACAGAAAATAAAACAATTTTGATGATTTAATTGTGCTCTGATTTTGGGTGGTATAATCTGGAAACATGGGCAGTGTGAAGGAAAAATAGTATGCTTTTTATATAAATATATTTGCCATCTGTTACATTATGAAAGGTGATTGATATTCAATATACATGAAGGTCATATTTTGGAAAGTAATTACACTTTTATGAAGATTTGAACATTTAAAAATCACATTTTAGTGTAGATTTCTAAATAATATAGTGACTGGTGGGAGTGTATGTATGTATGTGTGTATGTGTTAATGATTTTTTTGTCTTAATGATCATTTTTTCAGTATTGTCATTTCAGTTTTGTTCAATTTTAAAATTAAATATTTTTATCTTACTCTTAAGTATTTCTATGAGAGTTTCTTACAGCCATACAAACCTGCCATCTCATAAGAAAATCTTTCAGATTTAACAAATCCTAGCATTGGTGTTTGGTATTTATTGACTTAATTGATGCAGTTTTTTTTTTTATCTCCATCATTATGTAATGCTATCAAATTATCATTCTCCTTTTCTTATATGATTTGTTTCTGTTAATTAGCATTCCTACTTCATTGCCCCTGATGTAACTGGACTCCCAACAATCCCTGAGAGTGTAAGTTTTTTGTTTTCTGTTTTTAACTGAATTGATGTTATAAATTTAGTTTTTTACCTCATTATTTAAAAATTCTTATATTAATTGAACATAACTTGACTTTTTATGAGAAATAAATGAAGATAAAATTAGGAATAATGGTGTTATCTTTTTCTTCATTTATTTGCTACTTTTTTCATATCTGGTTGTAGATATGTTAAATTACTTGACAAAAACTACTTCTACCCTTTGAACTACTTCATTATAAGATTATATATTCAATTAAGTACTGAGCTCCCCTGTATTAGGTAGAGTAGGTCTCCCAAGATATGACTTGTGTGGGTAGAGCATGAGCACAGGTAAAGGGAAATACTTTCATATAAATAGTTATTTGAGTGAACTGACCATATTACTTTTTATACAAAAATCTTAGCTTTTTTTTTTTTTAAGAAATCTTAGATTTCTTCTACTTGATTATACGTGATGCATACTTTGTGCAATTTCAGGAATACACAATAACTTATACTAATTACTAAATTTTGCATCCCACTTAGGTCTTATTGTAGTTGTATTAGAGATTGTTTCTGTGTTTTAAGAATTACTACAAATTAACATCCTATAGAGAAATTTATACAGGTGAGTGGAAGTGACACACATGAAGTTTCATACTGTGTGAAAAGGAAATACCCCTTACGTAATATTTTTCAGCTTCCTTGAGTCAATAAGAATCCTCAATCAAATGAAAGAAACATCAATAGGAAAAATTATTTCCAAGGATGCTTATTAATTTCTTTAGAAGTCTACAGTTCTTCCAAAAGTGTTTTCAAAAGGACTGACTGGTTTTCCAATGTGCATGAGTTATGAATGAATGAAGTCCAAGGAGACAGTTGTAAATTTTCTAATTAAAACCAAGACTGTCAGTGGTGTTTTAGTATAGATAAATTGATATAACTTAAGAAAAGACTGCATTAAATTCCTCTTAATTACTCTTGCTTTTTGATGTGCTTAAACACAAAATTTTTTAAATAACTAATATAGAGAATGTCAATGTTAAAGTAATGCAGTTTATCCGAAATTTTGTTTATATGTGGATGGAAATAACTTAAGAAATCAAATTAACTAACACGATAAAGCAGGCCTAATAACATGGGGCATTACCAGGGAAGTTTACCTTATGATAGAACCCAGTATCTGCCTAAAATTCCATCTCTTCCTTTGTCTACCTTGCACATAAGAAAATGATATTTATTGCCTGCTGACTAGTTGGCGAACCTGAAAGGATGCAAATGTATGTTCTGGAACAGCACTTCTTAAAGTTTAGAGTATACAGAATCACCAGGATTACTTGTTTACAGAAAAGGGTCGTAAGGCTCTGAAGGTTGCAGTTCAACAGGTCTAGATTGGGGGCGCCATGGAATATGGCTTATTTCACTAGTGCTCATTGAGGGGGGTGGGAAATATGGATCCATTGATTAGCTTCTAAAAGACATGTTCCTAGAATAACATATTTCAAATAACAATAGAATGTTGATGTGTTTTATGTGGCAGCAGAATATTATTAAAACTAATTATTTTGATGACTCTAATTTTTTTAATAATAGCATCCTTTGAATTTTAACTTTCTTTGGTAATGTGTAAAATGTTTAACTTTGTAATCACCAAACACTATAACCTACACAATTATTTTTCACTTGTACAGAGAAATCTTACCGAATATTTTGTCGCCGTGGATGTGAACAATATGTTGCAACTGTATGCCAGTATGCTGCATGAGAGGCGTGTCATTATTACCTCCAGCAAATTAAGCACTGTGAGTAATTCACACTTCTCTTTTTAAGTAGAATGTATTGAGCATTTCACAAAAAGACTACAAACCTCTGCAAATTTAGACATGTTCTGTATGTGTTCATAAGACAGTATCTACATACTTTTTTGATACATGGTTTTAATCTGACTCTTGAAGTACAAAAGTATGATTTATAGAAGGCTTTCTCAGATGCATTAAGTCAGGTTAATTATTTTTTTCTTATCAGAGATGGTTTTATCCTCCTTTTTAACTCTCCAGAGTTCATTTTAGTGCCTTCTATCATATAAAGAATTCTTAAGAGCTATTATGAGATCTTTGTTATTCACTTGTGACTTTTTCCATTGGAGCTATTTGAAAGAAATCAAGGGGCCATGATAATAGCTGCTATCCTAACCTGGTAATAGGTAGATTCATCTTTGTTGCCAAGTAGAGGTTTGGGAGTAGATGCTATAATAGTTCTGATTTGGAGGAGCTCTTCAGACTGATAATAACTTAAAAGTCAAAGTAGCATTTTTAAAAAATCACAGGTTTTATGCCGCTCACTAAAATGTGCTTTTGGATTATCTTCATTATTGTGATAAAGACAATGAGAATGAAAAGATTTTTCCTGGGTCAAAGAAAAGCATTCTGCTAGATTTCCTAATCTTTTCCTACTTTAAACATTAAAAATGTAATAGCTTTCACATTGAAAATTTAAATTTAGTTTTAAGTAACGTATGAAGTATTTAGTTAATATCATTTAATGTTGTATGGACTTGTGTCCTTTTACTTACAGCTAATTGATAAAAACAAATAGTTTTGTGTTCTACTACTGTAGAAACATATAAATAAGTTCATGAAATTTTGCTACTATAAGAAAAAGTTTTATAATTTCCCTAGGATATATATCTTTCTGGACTATCTATTTAGTATTTAACAATGAGAAAGTTATTTTCAGGGAGGTAAGTGGCCAGCACAAGGACAAGTAGCTAATTGGAGACAGGTAATATGAAACTGCATTTCCTGATTCTAAGTTTAGTTAATTCTGTTACACAGTTGAAGAAAAGACAGTTTTAAGAATTAGAATTTAAGGACCATTGTACCCAATAAGCCCACCAATAAGGACAAAAATTAACTTTGTGATGTTCCCCCCCAAATTGAAAATATATTACTTTGCATATTGAAAACCACATTATAGGTATTTATAAGTATAAAAAATAGGTATTTCCTCACTTCTTTGTATGTATAGGGAAATGATGTAGTCCTATTAGATAATTAAGTGCTGATCAGTGATGTAGACAATTAGTTGCAGTTTAATGTGATATTGAGTTTGATATTGAATAATTTTTTATCTTTAAATATTTGCTCATGCTATTTTTAACTTACTGCTGAAGTAAGCAGTTCTTCTTCCTCCTCTCTCTTACTCCTCATAATTTCCCAGACATGTCTCTTTTCAAGATTTAAAAGACTTTCTATATGGATATTGTCCTGAAGATTAAAAGATTCCACAAACACGTAGGAAGCCTAAGAAGTAAATTCTCATCAAGACTAATTCATAGAACAGGCATTTATTATGTGCCTACAATATACTAGGCACTAGGATTCAGTAATAAGCAAACAAAAATCTTAACACTATAGAGCTACATCCAGTGATCAAACAAATAAATGAATGAAAAAAAAAGTTATCTGTCATACAGTGATGAGCACCTAGGGATAAGAGATAAAATGAGTGTTAAATGAAGGTAGTGTGTTAGCAGAAATATGAAGAGAATGAGCTAAGCATGTAAATATATAAGTTGCTCCTCTATTTAGGAAAACATTAGAAATAACTCAGAATATATATTTAAAACACTGGTGTTTACTTTCTGTAATTTATAAACATCTCTTGATAGCTTGAACACTGAGTAATAGTTTCATAACCTCATCTGTAAAAATGAAGGATCAAGAACTGTGTGTTTACAGCTATGTGAATACACATACAATGTTCCTATATTTGAAATACTTCAAATTATATCTACATAAGATTCAATGAATATTAGCTGTAATTTAATTTTATTGGTCTATTTTTAATTTTATAAATACATTTTTACACTAGTCTTCATTTTATACATTTTTTTTCATCTCAGTTGTAATTTGCATCCCCACTTCACCCATGTGCCATCACACAATCCCATGTACTCTTCCCACCCCAGTTCTGATCCTATTCTACTGATCCCTTAAGCATTCCTACTATGAGTGAAATCATCTGATATTTTTCTTTCTGGCGTATTTCACTAAGCATGATCTTTTCCAGTTCCATCCATGTTGCCGCAAATGGCATAAGCTTTTCTTTTTTGATTGTTGAGTAGTATTCCATTGTATATATGTACCACATCTTCTTGATCCATTTTTGGTCATTTGGATTGTTTCCACATCTTGCCAATTGTAAATATGGCAGCTGTATACATAGGAGTGCAGGTGTCCTTTTGAATTACTGTTTTTGTGTTCTTTGGGTAGATACCTAGGAGTGGAATTGCTAGATGACATGGAAGCTCCATTTTTAGCAGTTTGAGAAACCTCCACACAGCTTTCCATAGTAGTTGCATCAGTTTGCATTCCCATCAGCAGTGTAATAGAGTTTTTTTTTCTCCATATACTCACTAGCATTTGTTGTTGCTAGTTTTTTTAATACGTGCCATTCTCACTAGTGTGAGCTGGTATCGCAAGTGGTTTTGACTTGTATTTCTTTTGTTACAAGTGATGCTGAACATTTTTTTAATATGCATGTTGGCTGTCTGCCTTTCCTCTTGGAGAAGTGTCTTTGTAGCTCTTTGCCCATTTTTGATGGGACTGTGTATATTTGTTGAGTTTCTTCAGCCCTTTGCATATCTTTGCAATCAGTCCTATTTCGTTTGTATTATGTGCGAAAATTTTCTCCCAGACAGTGGGGTGTCTGATTGTTTTATGTAGTGTCTCTTTGGCAGTACAGAAGCTCTTCAATTTGATGTAACCCCAGCTGTTTGTCCTGTCTTACACTGTCCTCACTTTGGGTGATATATCTTAAAGATGTTACTGAGGTGTATGTTGTGAGGTGTTTCACCAATGTTTTATTCTATATATTTTATAGTTTCAGGTATTATGTCTAGACCTTTTATCCTTTTTGAGTTGGTTTTGTATATGGTGCAGGGTCATAATCTAGCTTCATTTTTTGGCATGTAGCCATCCAGCTTTTCTATCACCATTTGTTGAACAAATTTGTTTTGGTCCATTGCACAGTCTTTGTAAAACATTAGCTGCCATAAAGCTGTGAATTTATATCTGGGTTTTCTATTTGATTCCATTAGTCTGTATGTCTGTTCTTATTCCAGTATCATGCACTTTTCATTATTGTGGCTTTGTAGTATAGTTTGAAGTCTGGGCATGTGATACTTCCATTCCCTTCTTTCTTATTCAGAAGAGGATTTTGTGGTTCCATATGAATTTATTCAGTATTTTTTCTATATTTTTGAAAAATGTCATTGAAATCTTTATAGGATAGCATTGAATCAATAAATTGCTTTTGGTAGGATGGCCATTTTAATAATGTTAGGTTTGTGTTTTAAAGTAATATTGGCATTCTTTTTTTTTTTTTTTAAGATTTATTTATTTGTGCATACAGAACTGGGGTACAGGCCAGAGGCTCAGGGGCGGTGAGAGGCTTCACCAGAGACAGAGCGGGAAACAGAACAGGCAGATCAATGTAGTACACTGCTGAGGGGAGCAGCGGGCGGGTCAGGAGAGGTCTGCCACACCATGTGGTCACCTCCGGGGCAGGCGGGAATTGAACTCATGCAGAAGCAGCTTTAGATTCTCAGTGCTGTGCTTTAACCTGCTGCGCCACCAGGGAGAGCCAAAATTGGCATTCTTAATCTTTAATATTATCTGAATTAATAAACTGTTTTCTTGAAGAGTTTAGTGAAATTTCTGAGGCATCCAGTGAAGGAAGAATTAAAATACCAATGCTTTTATGCTTTCCCATTCATATTTTATATAACATAAAATCTATAATATACTTAATATTAATGTAAGAAATAGTGTTTTATCCATTCTTCAACTTTTAGTTTATAGACAAAGTTTTAAATAAAGAAAGAGAACATAAATTAAGGAGTTTTATATTCATAAATTCACCTTTTATATTCATAGATTCACTATAGCTTTAGGAATTTTATTGATTCTGGCCTATACCTTGGCATTCATAATTTTATTAGAATCATTTGTCATTTATTAGAATTATTGGGAACTTTATGGCTTTCTGGGGTTTTAGTAGTGATGCACTGGTTGATAATCATTTTTCTTCATGATTTCTTATCATTTCTTAAGGTGCTGTTTGTAGTTTAATTTGTAGTTTAATTTGCAATTCTCTTCATAAGTAAATATCTTTAAAAATTAACTGTGAGGATAGAAGAAATATCAAGAATATTGCTGTTTTTAAGATTAATGGTTTCCCCTATATATTAAAGTGTAATATTTTTTTTAGAAAACATCAATGACCTATATACAAAACATACATACATGTATATATACACACACATATTTTTTAAGTTTAATGAATTGGGACATCATCAATTTTGTGTCTATTATATTGTACCTTATCAAGTAGACATTAAAAGGTTTCTGGTAAGCCTAAACAAGAACATTGATTTTATACATGCTGTAGGCAGGCCCTAGATGTTTAGCCCCAAGTGAGTCTTGAGTAGACTAGCAGAACATCATACAGTGTCTCTTGTATTCAAAGCAAAGGAATAAATCATGATATTACAAGAGTATATCAGTTGACTTATTGCTGTTTTGTGACCAAAGGTAGGGAAGATTGCTGTTTAAAGTCATGTCATCAGTTCTCAAATCAGTCAGGCATGAAGTCTTGTCATATGCCTCTATAATTGTACCTCACCAGACTTTAACTAGTCAGCTGGGGCTGTGCATTTTGTCTCAAACACCCAACAGGCCAACGTCTGACAGGAGCTTTCTCATCATCCTGTCAGTAATATGTTAACTAGAGTGTGTCT